ACATAACTCTTACCCCAGGGACCCATCCCATCAAGACTTTAACATTTAAATTTATACATTCTTGTAAGAAAAGACTCGTACAAGTTTGCTACTGTTTTCTTGCAAGATTATAGAAAGTGAGCACACCCCCTGTGATTCTGTTTGCAGTTTAAGCACATTAAGAAAATATTGCTTGAATTAAAGGATGGTTAAGAAAAATCAAGTCGGATTCATACTAAAGCCAACATCTAAAGGACTTTGACTGGTCAAGTGTGAACTACATAACTCTGAGATTCCTTAAAACAATGTGAAACATCATATACTTTGGACTTTAACAGGAAGTTATAATATCTGGATAGAACATCTACCACACAGGGAGAAGATGCCAACTCCATGTAGAAAAAAAACACAGGCTGGAGTTCTTACCTAGAACCTTCTTCCTAGTTATATCACAACAGTTGTCTGACACTGTGCAGCTCATGACCAAACAGTTAAAAGTTACAATATAAAGTATGAAGGAAACATTCTTTTTTTCTTTTAGATTTTTAACACAGTTTATCCTTGCATAGGTGGGTAGTAGAAGCATTCATGCAAGTACTGCATTGTTTGCATTAAGAAAATTACAGCATACTCTTTAACTCATGAATTTATCTCAGTTGTAAAAAAAAAAAAGACTATTATTTTGAAATTCATGATATTGTAAAATGTATATTTTTATGAAGCAAAGGCCATGCATGTTATATAAGATAACTGTCTTATCTTTAAGACTGTGCCCTACTACGCTATGATCCCAGGAGGGATGTGCCCTAAGAGGACCATCATCATCAGGGGCATGGTACCCTATGCAGCAAAGAGGTCTGTGCTCATTAGTAGGGGTGGCCAAGTCATTCAGATAACTGGGCTCTGACAGAATCTTGGTTTTCCAGGATGGGGTTCAATTTAGTGGTGAGCAGATCCAGAGACATCGCCTTCCACATGAACCCCAGAGTGAAGGAAGGTGTTGTGGTGCGAAACACCAGGATAGCAGAGAAGTGGGGCAAGGAGGAGAGAGAACTCACCACAAATCCCTTCGTAGAGGGACAGTACTTTGATGTAAGCAACATAGCCATCCCTCTAGGTTTACTTTGTGTTCTGATGCATTCTCTGATAAGTTTTCTGTCTGACACTCAGATGTCCATTCGCTGCGGGAACCAGAGGTTCAAGGTGTTTGTGAACGGGCAGCACTTGTTCGACTTCTCTCACAGAATCTCCTTCAATGAGATCGACAAGCTGGAGATAGAGGGAGAAGTTCAGATCTCCTACATCCACTTCTGATCCGCTCATTATCTATGCACCGTCCTTCTTTATGTCACATTATGCTTTCATTTTACAGTCTATGTCACCTCAGGTTATTTTTACTTGCTGTTTTATTTTTCAGTTTGCAGCTACTTAGTAAACATTCCAATTCTTCAGAACAAATGAGAATAAATCACCAGGATTAACGTTCAGCAAAAGAATGTGTCTTTGAATTTATTCATTTCTTATGCAAAAATACTGTAGAAAAGATTCTCAAATATTGACAATATCAAAGAAGTTATTGTATAAAATCCTTAAAATGTAAAAACACCAATAGAATAAACACATATTCATCAAAATGCAAAATACTGGCTCTTATTTAAAGGCACTTGTGAAAGTTGTGTAATCCTCTCTTTTAAGGCTGACATTAGGATAATGAGGAAGAAATGGTTTCAATTATTGCTGCAGGAAGTTTAACTGAAAAAAAAAAAACTCCATGTACACAAGAAACAGGAAGTGAATCTTATTTTCAGCACCTTTTTCTAAACCTCACACTGTGTAAACCATACCAGATGTATTACAAAAAAACAAAAAAAAGGAAATGAAGCAAAATGTATCCTAACATTCTGCAGTAAAACTATACACTGATTTAAAAGTACCTTTAATTCTAACAAAAAAGACAGCGCTATTTCTTCTCCCAAAATGTGCCAGAACATCTATTCTGATGACTTATTGAACGACTAAGGCATACATTTATATAATTACTGTTTATATACATGGATACATAGAAATATAAGTGCACACGTGTTGCAACACTAGTTAACATCCTCAGGGCATCTGGGTGACATCCCTTCATGATTTGAAAGTCTTTTACTTGTCAGACAACCCAGAAAGGTCTGCATGGTGACCCACAGTGTTTGTTCTCTGGCATCAATAACATGCAAATCCTGCCATGAACCATCTTCCTTAAGGGCAGAGAAATATTTTACAAAACCATCAAAATCAATCATTAGTGCAAAAGTTGGAACAAATACAAAAAAATAACATCAAAATAAAAAAGAAATCTGTATAAAAACACTGTGTTTGAGACCAAAACTAAAATGAGGATTTTTTAATCCATCATCTCTCGGTTGATCTGTACCTCTTATCAGTCCCTTGGAAGTTTAAGCAGTTTGTCTCAGCCTTTTAGTTTAGAAGCCCTACTTCCTGAGTTTTGGAAACAAAATGTAGATCGGATGCTTGGTCAATGGCTCATTGCAGAACTGACAGTAAAACTTGTAACAGATCAGGTTCTAATTTAAAACACTTCAAGGTTCGTCTTCTTTTTTTAAATGCAGCTCCTCATAATTTTATTCTTGAATTTTTTTCAGCATTTGCTACATTACAACCAGAAACTTCAATGCATTTTAGAGTTGTAAATAGCGGACCAAAAAACAAGTACATAATAGGGAAATAACAGAAAAATGATGCATAGTTTTTATCTGTGGGACGGACAACTGCTAGTCCTGCAGTCCATACATTAGCCCTTAATAAAAAAAGGTGCGACTTGAAAATCATTATTGAAAGAACGCTGCAAGACGTTTCATATTCACCAACAGCAGCTTAGGTAAACAGCAAATATGTGGAAAGCGAACGTACTCCTAAAACTAAAACTGAACTCTGGGCTTACATACTACAAAATTATTTACAGTGAAAACATGCACTGCATATCAGCCTCAATATGGTAAAACATGGTAGTGGCAGCATTATGCTCAGGAGAGACCTTTCTTTGGTAGTGACATGGAATGTGCTAGTTTTTAATGGGAATACAGTTAATTACAGCAGGACGAAGGTCCAGAACATAACGCCAGAGCTCCTGTTGAATGGTTTATATCAAAGCATAATGATGCTAGAATAACTTGGTCAGAATACTTCACTAAATATAATAGAAAACCTGTGGCAGCGCTTTAATGCTGGATTTCAAGGATCTGACTCATTTTAGCAGGCCGATAACCAAGAACAGGGATGATTTATTTGTTTTCTTCTCAGACTTAAATAAAATCTGTTGAAGATTTCAAACCAAATACACTGCAACTGCATCTGCAGAAAAAAAGTTAGTTTTCAGTTTGGACTTTGGTTTTGATTAATTTAAGCTTTTTGATTTTTATTTTTTTACTGTCCTTTGCATTGGGCAACCACATAACAACCCCAAATGTACCTTCAAGTTTGAGGACAAAATCTAAGAGGGGAAAAATGTTTGGAAGAGTTATATTGGATGGCTGTTGCTATTCTCTGCAGGTTGTTTGATGTATCTGGGATTGTACCTGGTAGTACCCACAGCGATGTAAAAAAAAAAAAACGAAACAACATTCAAGAGATATGCTATAAAAATACCTTAAAGAATAAAGATAAGAACATTGAACAAATGGATAAAAGTCAGTTGTCCATCACTTCGTTCTGGCAGTGTCAGCTGGTTTCACAAAGAGTTTGTTGTTTTGTTTTCAAAGTCACTTTCCAGCATGTCTGCAGTTGGAAATGTGCTGCTATTGCAAAAGAGGCGTAATTTCATTTTCTTTGAATGTTTGATCTGCAGCATAAAACCACAAGCTTCACATGCAGTCTATGGTCGGCAAAAGTCTCCTTCAGGGTGAAGCAGAGGCAGCTGTTTCAAACTCACTTAGAAATGTGCTCATCGTCAAAACAGGTTCTTAGTGAGAAAAATCATCCCAAACTGTTACTTGCTTGGAGACCGGTGATACATTTGTGCAAAATATGTGTGGTGAAGCACAAAGTGTCTTGCAGTCAGAGGTTGTAGGGAGTTTGGGTTTGGGACACGTGTGGCAGCGACCCGCCCCTAACGTTCAACAGTGGATCAGCTACTGCCAAGGCATCCTGCTGGTCGATTCCCTGTCCTCCAGCAGCTCCAAAGTGGGAGTGGGGGTGTGGTTAGGAGTGGTGCGGCAGGACGGCTGTAGAGGCAGCGTGGCTGTTGAGGATGAAACAGGCATGTCCAGGCTCTCCAGGGAGTCGGACAGGGTTCGAGTGGTCTCATGTCGTGGACAGAGGACGTATCGGCTGCGCTCGTGGACTTCCACGGTAGTCACAGATTCAAATCCTTTTCGGAAGAGAGGCGATGATCTAATAGGATCTCGGCCCCCGACGGCTCCAAGCTCTACAGGAGATTCATCCATGTTGACATATAGTATCTCATCAGGGTCCTGAGGGTCTGGAAGATCCTCGAGGGCTTTTTCCAGCTCGCAGCGCAGTGTCTCAAAAGATGGACGATCCTTGGGGCTCAGAAGCCAGCATGAGAACATTAGAGAATAGCTGCAGATCAGAAAGAAGCCTTAGTTATTGGTTGGCCTGACATATACACTTCCTGTTATCTGAGGAAGTTCTTATTTTTCTTTAAAAAAACTAAACAAAAAACACATAAAAATATATACACACACAAATATATATATACTGTATATACACATACACAAATATACAGTATATAGTTTTTCTTAACAGAACTTTAAATAAGTGAAAACTCACATAGAGTCCAAACAGTCTGGAGGTTGTTTGAGACGGTTTCCTTGTCTTAAGTAGTCATAAATCTCGCTGTTTTCCACCCCTGGATAAGGCGTCTGGCCTCGTGTGGCTATTTCCCACATGGTGACTCCAAACGACCACTATGAAAAACAGAAAACAGGAGAGAGAAACACACAGAGAAAAGGTCAGAAAGCTGTAATGCACACATGTCAGACAAGAATTCGCACCTAAAACTATACAAGAGAGTTACAGCCGTGCACATGTATGGATTTTGGACATCCTCGTTTGCACAACCAGTGCAGAAAAATGTCCATAATTCACATATCAGCATGTAATTCTTATGAGCAGGAACACTGAGGCCCCTGAAGTATGCTTGAAATGAAGTTACCACCTGCCACAGCTGACATCTGTCCCAGAGATTTGGTCACAACACATTCCACCATATTTCACTTTATGCTCCAACATTGCTTTTCTGATAGCAGTGATTAATGTTTCTGAGAAAACTAAATGATACTACAAAGCTCATCTCCTTTCTGTACATCCTAAATATCCGACAGCTGAACAGTATGTGTAAGTATGTATTACTGGCACAAATGATGAACAGTATTTTAAAGATATGGTGAGAAAATGTTTGAATACTGAGGTTTAATTTGATGCGTATACTTTATGTTTATGTGTATTTAGATTTATGCTGTTGAATACACATACAAGGAAAACATGCTTGAAGTTTGTCTTGCAAACTATTTAATTAGTGAATGATTAAACTGATAAATTAAATGCTATTACAGTGGCTGCTTAGGAAACCTTAGCTACTAACATTAATATTACCTTTATATCAAGTGTAGAGTCACAATAAATACTGTATGGCATCATTCTCTATAGAGCAAATCAATACAGATGTTGTGATTGATTTTTTTTTTTTAATATTAACTTAGTTATAAATAACCTTTATGTTTTGAGAACCTCATTGTTACGGAATGATCATGTTTTGCAGTCTTCTAACATGCTCTAAACTGGCATGTTCTGCTGAATTTCCATTTTAACTTTACTATTAAATCTAAAATAACAGAATCAACAACATATGGGAAAGTTTGCTTATTTACTGAGGACCAACACAGAAATCTCTCTCCTGACTGGCTGCTGTCAAGCTGGTTTGATGCTACGATTTACACATGTAACAGCTGATTTATCAAAGTGCATTTCTGCTTTGTTTGGTGGTGTTCTGTCAGATCAGCATACCCCATCAGACCAGCATAACCATAGTCAATATGCATATGCAAGCCATCAGATCTGCGTTCATCCATTTAGTTTTGTAAGAAAAATAGACTTTAATCTACCTCAATGGGCGTCTATCCCTTTGGTCATGTAAAAAAAAGAGAAATTAAAGGTCAAATTGCCATACGCTTCAAAAAACACCAAAAAGTAAGTAATTCAATAACTTGGGAATAAGGGATACATGCCCGTTGACGTAGTTTAATTTTTTTTTCATACAAAACTAAAGGGATAAAGGGGTATTGACTATGGGTACAGTATGCTGGTCTAGTGGAGTATGCTTATCTGACATAGCACAGGCACAAAACCAAACCTAAAACACAAAACTTCCCCTAATTCAAAGGCGCTTGATCTTATGATAACAAAGCTAAATGCATAAATATGAAATAGTTTACCTTATAACTCAGAATTTTCCAAAAAGCTATTTACAATAAGTAGACCATAGCATCAAATATTTTGTGACTTAACACTAATTAAACAAAAATCTGTCATTTTCTTATGTCATGAAAAAAAACCCACTCTCCACTGATGAGATGGGTGTGTAAGGAGGGACCATAAAAAGAAAATGCAGCTTGCTTTTATGTTTTTTTTTTATTTTGTTTGACATGGTGTAAATAGGCATGGGAGCACAAAATGTGTTGTGTCAATGTGAGGAGAGGTAAAAGTAGCTGCACTGAATCAAAGGAAGGTTTTGAGATTAAATATCATTTTGGATGCTAATCTCTCTGGTCTTTAGCTCTGCTACCCATAGATGATGTCTTACTTTCTCCCTGGCAGCTTTTTACCACTGACTGCTCATATTAACTCCACATCATCCAGCTTTTAGTTATATTTTTTACATAATTTTCATCCTGGTGTTTTACTATAGAATAAATCCATAGGGATCTTTTTCTGGTTCTTTGAAAAAGGGATACAGTTTTTACATCCAGCTATATTATCTTGGGGTTACGAGCCTTTTTTCCCCCCAACATTGTGAGTGATATAAACACACGAATAAGGAAACACAATGAGTCAGTCTCCACAGGTACTAACCACATCACTCTTGGTGGTGTAGACGCGGTCTGCTAAGCTTTCAATTGCAATCCATTTAACAGGCATCTTGGAGATCCGTCCCTGTCTGTAGTAATCGCCGTTGTAGATCTTCTTGGAAAGGCCAAAGTCGGCCACAGACACGTTCATGTTCTCATTTAACCTAAGAGCGTGAGAGAGAAAAAGGAAACACTTAGCTTCAACAGAGGGGTGGGAGTTCTCTAAAAATACACACGTCTTTGTTTTAGCCTTTATTAAATATTATGGGGGTTTTTTGCAGCTGAGAGATTTTTCTCTGCATTAGGAAAAGTTTAAACAGTTTTACTTTTATTTATAGGACCATTTATAACCCCTGCTTGCTGGCAGCAACAAGAAAGGGAAAGTGCAAACAAGGCAGCCTGTGGGAACTGAAAGAGTACATAAGCGGAGGAAGCGGTTCTGCTTACATGCAGTTGCGTGCAGCCAGGTCTCTGTGGATGAAGTTCTTGCTGCTGAGGTACTCCATCCCTCTGGCAATGTCGGCCATGAACTTGACCAGCATCTGTGATGGTAGGTACTACAGGACACACAGGGAGGATGGTTCATTCACAGATTTATCACAGCTGTGATTTCATCTTTGAACAATAGAGGGCGCCAGTATCCATCTTTTTTTAACAAGTTATTAGCAAGAATTGATTTTCCAGACTCCCTCCTCCTATGGGAACAACAGCTCTCAGCTGCATTGTGTGACTGTTTTTAAAAGTTGGCAAACCTCAAGACTATTTCGACATTGTGTGTGAGTCTTGCTTTGATTAAAGTTTATGTTTCTCAGCACACCCCTCCAGGGGTTTTAACACGCGGATAATGCCAAAGCATTCAGTGTTTCAGGGTACTTTTTCCTGCCAAAGGAGGAATAATTGGAGGCTTATTTAAGAAATGCTTTACAACTATGTTTAACTCTGGATCCTGTTTTGCTGACATTCATGTGAACTTAAAACCATAAAGTGTGTGAAACTGTGAGCGGTTGTGTGTTGCTGACTCTGTGTTTTTGGTGTTTTGTTTTCAGGCTTACCACAGGACAGTCTCCTAGCCTGGAGTACAGCAGATAGCTGTGCAAATCCCCGTGCTTCATATACGGGAGGATAACCACAGGTGACGGGTAACCTTCGCTCTCCACGGTCTGCAGACACACACCTGAGATAAAAAAAAAAACAACAGATAATTTAGTCTGAACACTTGCTGTTTTAAATAGGATGTGCACATAATTTGAAAATAATAAGGTCTGAACTGTGCAATTATTCACAAGAACACATTGATTAGATTTTTTAAAATCCATACTTAACATTGAAAGGAATTGCAAGTGAACCCCCCCCCCCCCCCCAAGTTCTTAATGAAATGATATAGATTCAATTCATAGATATGTAAAAATGCCTGAATCTATTTGTATTTTTTTTTAATTCAAAGTTAATGTTGCTTGATTTGCTTAGAAAATGTATTGGATATTAGTAATGCATTAAGCACACCTCACTGGAAGAGATCACTTCTTTGAAAAGTAAAGTCAGATTTTTGTAAAGCCAAGAATGTGGCAGGTCACATTTTCCACTTTTTCTTATTACCTCTAAAATGTCAACTAGTTTTAAACGGATGTAATTTCTCCTTTTTTTTTTCTCTAGCTGTAATTTCAATAAAGATACACACACATTGGTATTACTACTTCCACTACACAGCAACATTTGCACACATTGTTTTTTCTCATATGTGCATCCTGCAGGTTATTGACTGACTTACCCAGGAGCCTCATGACGTTGGGGTGATCAAACTCCTTCATGCAGGCAGCCTCACGCAGGAAGTCCTCCATCTCTGAGCGAGTGCAGATCGCAACTGGAGAAGTGATCATTTACAGGTTAGGTCACTTTGTAGGTCAATAAAATCCCATGAGGGTGGAGCTGTTTTACCCCTCAATGCTGAGACTACATAATTACTTTTTAAAAACTGTTTTAATGTCTAACTCCATTTTCTGTGACAGGTTTCTTCAGCAAACATAAATATTGGTAATAAATATAATATTGGTAATTTCATTATGTAAATTCCTTTATTGTCCGACAATGGGGAGATTCAGTCTCTGCATTTAACCCATCCCCTTGGGGAGCAGTTGGCTGCCATTGTGTGGCGCCCAGGGAGCAGTGTGGAGTTAAGGGTTTTGCTCAGGAACCCTGAGTGCAGGCTGTAGGGATCGAACTGGGTGCTTGCAACCTTCTCAGAGCACAAGCGCACTGCTCTAACCCATTAGGCCAACACTCCCACCAACCTTTATCCTTTTGTTGTTGTTTTTTTTTTTGACTAAAATGGTTGGATTCATGAAGCGGGATGATGATTTATTTCATCGTTCACTCACTCTTCATAGTCTTGACAGCCACCTTGAGAACAGCCTCCTCCTGATTCAGCAGACCCTCCATCACAGAGCCAAACTCCCCTGGACATAAAAAAGAGCAAACCATATGACAACCAGCATGATTTGAATTCTAATGGAATGGAGATTACATCATTACAACCTTAGTTTACACTGAAATACAACCACAGCAGTAAAATAGAAGCAGACAGGAAAAGCTCACCTTCTCCCAGAGTCTTTCCCAGAGTGAGCTTATGTCTGTCCACCATCACATCTTGCAGCTTCTGTTTCAGCTCATCACTGATACCCAAACTGTTTACTGCAGAGAAGAAACAGACAAAAAAAAATGTCACTGGTGCTTTAAGGGCTGTTTGGAGGAAAAACAGCAGATATGTGCAACAATGCAGCTACAATAGGATCAGACAGCTTTTTTCACCTTCATTTAGGAGCCTTAAGGTGCTTCATGAATAACTTATCTAACCAAGGTTGCATTGCAAGAACAAATGGTAGATTTGTTCTTGCAATTCTAGGATAAATATTTGATAAATTTGACTAATTGTTTTTCCAAATAGACATAACTATGTGCTACTCTTAATCTTTGGATTCTTTTTGAATTCAGAACCTGCAGTAAATAACACTGATATATTGTTTTAAATCTCTAACGTAGACATAGACCTGCAACACCACATTTTATCTTGTTGATTAGCATCCATATTTCCCTTTGTGGTTGTGACTTTTTTCTGCTTCTTTCAGTTCCCCCCCTTTTTTTTTGCTGTTATGACCCCAGATCGAAATCAAGTGTGGTTTCAGTTAATTGCTTTAATTCTGAATAAAATGTTGATTTCTCAAAGACTCATCTTTTCGTAGACTGAATGTAATTATAATACAAATTAGTATGAGTTGCAGTGTGTTATTTTTATTTTACACTGCAATTATTTTATTTTGTTTTTCCCGAAGATTTGTTCTTTAATTTTCTTTATAGAAAGTTTAAGTAGAACTATTTAAAAAGAGTTTCTAATAAGGACTGAAGCTGCTGAAATATTGGTGAGAAAAATAAGTTCAAATATATAAAAAAAGGTTATTATTCCATGTGTGCTGAAATGCTTCCTGCAGATGGGCTGTCACTGAGCAGTCATTATTTTTCATTTCTTCTACTTCGGACCAGAATGTGACAGGACAACAACAGCCTCTGAGATGGCCTGCAGCTGCTGCTACACAGCAATCTGCCTCAAGTTGGACGAAAAAATGCGTTTAGTCCAAAGGCATGTTACAACTCATGCTGGTATGTCCGGCTGCGGCCCGATAAAGGCAAGAACCAGAACGTCAGGATCTGACTATGTCCTGAAAAACTGGCCGGAACTTCTGGACAGCGTCAGTGGAGAAAATCCAGCCCAAATCCATTAATCCAAGCCTTCCTTTTTATTATATCACTCATATGAAATACCTCATCTCATCCTCCTAGCTTGTCTCATTTCACTTCCTGATAGGCTTTTCTGCAGTTTTTTCAGGTTTATCTTGGCATCTTTGTTGGACCGGCAAGCTGGGACTTGCTCATGAGGACCATAACAAATATTCTGTGCACAGCAGGGGACAATGTCGGGACTTGAATGTGACCCAGCTGGGTGAAATCTGAGTCTGTATTTTCAGCTTTGTATCTCTGTAATTGATGCAGCGTTTCAAAGGAAGACTCCAGACTGGTGACAGCAAACAAAGCAATGCAAAAGCACTCTTTTCCTCGCTTGATGACAAGCTCTTCTGTTATTAAGACCCCCCCTTGGAGACCTGCATCACATCAGATTGCTTCCTGATGTCGCTGGATCTCCTTGATCTTTACATCTCCCAAGTCTTTAAATTTCACTTTTATTTATATCATTTAAATGCAGCTTAACTGTAGAAGGTTTCAATCTAACAGGAGGGTTGCCGTGGAGCATATAAGCTTACTAAACACTTACAGCTTGTTAACACAGCTGCAGGGATGGAATCAACTCTTGGCTGTTTGATCATCCAGATAAACTATGGAGGCCTTTTTTTTGTCTTTTAGCATGGAGAACAGAGCTGCCACTGTGTAGCCTGAGGAGAAATTATTCTCGCTGAGCCAGTATTTTAAGAGCAGAGGAAGCATTTCTACTCCTTGCAGCAATGCAGGTCCAGGCATGCAGCTGAAAGTATCTGTTCCTGGTTTGGTGACATTCAGGTGCAGGTAGGAGAACTCACATGTTGCTTCTAGCGGCCTGCGGCTGTAGCTGCGGCGAGCGCGGTACCTAACCACCAGCTGCCCTCGCTCCATCATGGGCTCAAATGCCTCCCTGTAAATGCACAAAAACAAAACGGATGTTGTCGGGCAATGTTGTAAACAATCCCGAGAGCGGGGCTGCATGATGCACAAAATGACTCAGAAAATAAGTAGCATTAGGTCTGGAAGGACTGAGAACATTTATGGTTTGGCCGAGTGGCTGGGCCCCTCCCTTCCACCCACAAGAAGGACAAACAAACCTACGCACCCAAATCGTGTCTCTTTGCGCCGTAGCTTGGCCACATAAACAGCCAGGAGCACGGCGAGGGCCACAGCGCCAGTAATGGCCATCACCACGTACCACCAGTGCCAGGAAAAGGCTTTAGGATTTGATGGACCTGGAAGAAATGAATGGAAGACGGGCATTGATCTCAGTCCATCATGTTTGTCAGATTGAGCCCTAGGGGTCAAATTTAATCTGCTCTGGGTCTCCATCCTGGAGAGCTAGTTTTTCCCTGCAAGTTTTAGAGGCATCCCTGCACGTGATAATTATAGTAGAATTAGCTGCTTTGAGAAAACAGACAACAAAAGAGAGATGGATTTGTTTGTCTTGTTCTTGATTGGTTCACTGTTGCAAGAACCTCCTTTAAATGTGTCTTCTCTCATATGCTGGTAAAATGTCTACCTATCTGAGGTGGGTAGTAACTAGTTACATTTACCACAGTACATTTTAGAAAAATATATATATCTTGGAGTAGTTACACCTAGCCATTCTTTTTTTTACTACAGTCATATTCTCGTTAGAGTATTCCTACTCTTACAAAAGTACACTCTCTGGCAGCTCCACCCACTATGAGTAACTTGTGCTATTCAGAGTTTAGGTGAAAGTACAGTAAACAGCTGGAAGTATTTATCTTTTCCTGACATGTAAACATAACCTACTGTTAGGATCGGTTTTATAGGTTTATGTTAAAAAAAAAAAAGTTTTTCTTTGGACTTTTTAAAAATTGTGTTATCATGTTTTTTATGTAGATCATGTAAACAGAATTTGCACAAAATTGTTCTTTTTTATGCCAGTTAGAAAAAAAGTTCAAGTGGTGCTTCTGGTATATTGGATAAGGTAGAAGGAATAATAAAGAATGGCTACTTCAAATCAAAAGCAAGATGGCTGAAGCTTGGACATGCTCAGATGTTCCAACTGGAGAGGGATAACAAAGACACATCTGTACAGGTTTTAGTGTTCTAAACCCTTTACCTCAAACCAACTAACAAAAAGAGAGGAATATAATTAAAAGTTCAATGCAAAAAATGAAAAAAACAAAAAAAAAACATAAAAATCAATTCTAACAAAGAACATAAGCTAAAAGCAGAAAGTTATGAATTCAATTCTTGGTTTTTAGTTGTGTGTTTTATAATCTTTCTATTCTGGATAAGACACTGGACTTTGAAAGGACATCTATGGTTTTAGCGTGCTTAGTATCGGCAGGCAGATAAATCTGCCACTTTTCAGCCTTGGAGTTTAAAATCCACTCTGGTTGAAGCTCTAAAAGAAAATGTTTTATTTTGTCAACTGATAAATACCTAAAAACCAAATCCTTGAAAGTTTTAAAAGAGGTGAAATAACATTCATGATATCATAAAGGTATGATATATGTCATGGGAATTCAACAAAAAGGACTATTTGATGTTTACATAGCGTGTTTTCTCAGGTCTTGCAATAAAACCCTTCCTGTTTGTTTTCTATTGCAGTTTAAGAGTTTCAGGAAAAAGTGATGAAGGAATGACTCCTTCCAAGATAAATCTACCAACACAACTCTCCTTTTCTCTGTTCCTTCCTTGGCATCCCATCACTCATTCTGAAACCTTCTCAGTCTCCCAAAAAAAACTACAAATAGAAGAACTTCCTTCTTCTCATCCTCCCCCTATTTAACTGCCTCCTTTTCACTTTTTTATGCCATTCTTCTTGTTGATGTCTAGCTCTTCAGGACAAAGAAAACAGAGGTGCTACATTGCCTCAGACTGGTATAAATATTTATGACGCGTCTCCCCATTCAGCCAACCCCCACCCTCACCCCCCCACCCCCTCCTCCCTTTCCTGTCTCTAAGATCCTCTATTCTGGATTTTCTCTTCCTTGCTTCCTCTTTTTTTTGATTGCATATGACAGAAGCCAGTGACACAGAGTGAAAAAGAGAAGTTCTGAGGATCACAAAAGAAGCCAAAAACATCATGAGCTCACTTCCACAAACACACTGCGGTCATTTTGTGTCACAGCAGAGAGAGTCTTTACTCACCTTTTAATTTATCTGTTTCTGTGGAAAAAAAGAAAGATAAAAAGATTATTTTCATATGCAAGAGTAAAATCAATAAAAAAAATTGTTGTACATTATTCTTTTAAACGTAGACTGTTTTTCACTTTTTTTATGTCTTTAAACCTCAGATTTTCACTGCTTTATCAAAACATTGTAGTCTATTGCTGCTAGGTTTCTATGGCAGCGTTTTTTTAGAATTAGGAGTTAAAGGCTCATTCACCTTAAAATATCAATGTTTAAACAAACTGTGCACATTTGTATGGATCTGTGGGAAATGTGAATAATTAAATATATAAGCAAAATGTCAAATATTATGAATTTTTTTTAAATTTACCCCAACTATATATACCTTTGTGGTTTTATTAGGAAAATAAGAAAACTTTCGACTTAAAAACACATGAAAATTCTTTCAATAAGAAAATTAACATATATTTACGTTTTAAGGAGATGATTAGCTGTAATTCATTAACTGAAGATGATGCGTCACTTTTTATGTTCTTTATTATTATTATTATTATTTACAATTGTATGCAAGAAATTACATTTTCCTTCCTATTTCAATGCTCTGTTTAATTATCCTCACATCTTTACATCATATCTTATCTTTTGTCTGTTTTATCGGTGTGCAGTCACAGCAATGGTTGTTATCGGTTCCAAAACATAAAGGTTTTAGGTTATGATTTTAAAAAGAAAATATATATATAGTTTACATCTTTTAATTAAAAATGCCAGAGATATCACACTGTAAACCAAAAAGTTGAAAGTATCCATAATTGAATCAGTTGAGTTAGTACAACACGTTCTGTTTTTATTTTTAAACTTTTGGAATAATCCAAGTTATTTGTGCATTCATGGAGCCTAACTTCATTAAATAACTTAATAAAGAACAACCTAACTGTATTAAGATGGTACCGGTGCAGATTTTGACAATGCAATCCCAATGACTGACCGGTTGCCAAGTGGTGTGGCTATGCTGCAACGCCATGAGTCAGTTTTCTTTTGGGTGTAATCAGGGCTCTTCAATGTTGCTTGGCGACAGGTTAATAAATGTTAAAATGTAAAGGTAATTGCATTGTGTCATAAAATAAATATTATGCCTACAGCTGCAATACCCAAAGGATCTGAATGGCAAATCTGGCCTAGAAGTAGGATTTGGAAGTCAGAATCAAAGAAACTACTGAATATAAAACTTAAACTGAAAAAAAAATGTTTGACTTTATAAATTAAAAAACTTTAAATAATAGTGAGTAAAATGCTTTAAGCTGGCACAATAAATAACTTTGATTAAAATGAAATCTAAATACAGAATGACTAATTAATAGAAAAACATTGTTGAGTTTTCTTAACTTATTTGGTTTTACATTGGACTCATAGTACTGCTCACTCTGGCTGCACACTGCCTTTTAGCTGGCTGAAAGCAGGCTGCTGCTACATTAGATTTGTCTTTTTAAGACCTTCAAGTTTAGCTATTAGGAAATATTTTCATACAAAAGGAAACCTGAAGAAAAACTGTGTGAAGACTCAATGAGCACAGTCCATCCAGATGCGAAATGTTTTGCTCATTATTACTGTACGAACAAAGGAGATGCAGCAGAATCATAATATTTTACTCAAAGATATCATTTTGTTGGGATCCCAAACACGACTGGAGTTAAAATAAGTGCAGAGACAAGCATCCAAATCTACACAAAATCTTTAAAAGCTTCCAGAAAACCTTGAGGATTCTAAAAATTATATTTAAACTCAACAATGGTGCAGTTTGGATCAACAGTTATCATTTTATCTGCTCAAGAATTAGTAAAATATTATTTCAGTTATATTAGCTCATTATTTCACACTGATCTATAACCTGATTTTAATTTAAAGCTGTTTTTCACTGAGCTTTCTTAGGTTATGGAGAAATAATCAATTAAAAATAATTAATTACATTTATTTCATTAGGCAATAACATATAAATAGGTATGATAATGTGAGGAGGATCTAGGTTGAGTGAATATGTTTTAAAGCTTAAGTATTAATACCGGTAACTGTTTTCTTTTTTCAGTTCAGTGGAGTTTATCATACTTTAACTGGATATTGAGGTAAAATAACTAAGGACGACATGATGAAGACCAGGTGTTATACATGGAGCTCTAAATCCTCCTGTCTCTTATGAGCTGCTTTAAAATTATCCAAGTCCACAAGAAAAGCTACATTTAAGCCAGAGAGGACATGTTATTAGTGGAAATTTCTCATCACTCACCGGGAAAATTAAGGACCAGAGTCTCTGCGCGGCTCCAGGGTCCCCGCCCCGCCCCGGTGTAGGCGCAGACTCGGTACGATACATTGGTCAGAGGGATGGACAGGTTAATGGAAAACTCTGTGTCCAGTCCAGCATCCACCACAAACTGGGAACAGGAGAAAGAAGATGGACGGTTACAGACAAGCTCCATTTATTATTCTAAAACCTTTAATAGTTTCATTTTATTCTGTTATGTCTCGTGGTTAAAGTGAGAGCAAAGATGGAGGATAATTTGTTTGTGGCCAAACTGTAAAAGATTCAATATATCAGATTATCCTGTTAGATGTTTTAAGAGGAATCTGATGATAAGGTTTTATTTAAACAACATCTGTGATCGTGTTTAACTCCTCACATGCAACAGTGAGAGTTAGAGTATTTTGGGGATGGATTGTGTGTTTATGACCGTTTTATTACAGATGCTTAGCTATAACCAGGTATGCTGATATGTAAAGGTCAACCAATGGCTAATCTCTCAATAAAGTGACACGGAGCCTTTACCCTGCCCTTGGTTTTGCTTCAGGCTGACCTGCTGTGTGTTGAGCATGCTGTATTCCACCATGAATCCCTGCAGCACTCCGTTCAGCTTCCCAGGAGGTTCATCCCATGTCAACAGCACCTCGGTACCATTCGGTTTGGCGGTCACATTGGCTGGTGGGTTCTCTGGCACTGAAACATCAGGAAAAAAAAAAAAACCACAACATAAAAATCCTAATCAGGATAGTGGAGCGTAGAGTTCAGGGTGTGGGGAGGCTTGATGTGAAAGAGGAGCCAGCAGCGGGTGGACAGAGTCCAGGCGTTAACCCGGCAAGCTTTGTTTTCACAGCTTCAAGCCTTTAGGATGAGTGTAAGTGCAACATCTGGAGGGATAAAGTGGAAGAAAATGTGAAGAATTTTGCTCTGCTGAAGCAAAGGGGTACATGAGGGTACCATGATTAGGAAAGTCCACTCCCTGACCTCTTCCCCCTCCTCTGGTTTACTCTTCCCTGCCTGCTTTTCCTGTGTGAAAGTGCCTCCCAACAGGAGGGGAAAGCTTTCTGGAAAACATGGCAGCAACGCTGGAAGAATCTGTATGAGATTGATTCTCCATGTACAAGACTCCAAAAGAACTGGATTTGTTTCTTCTGCTACACTTTGTTTTTGTGAGGAAGACTCTAAGAACAAAAACAAAACCCCCTCACACAAACACATGAGTGAAGTCACTGGGAGTTTGTAGAAACATTAGCCGGGCTACAGTATGGATGATGTTATCTGGGATTGTTTGGCAGCTGATTGTTTCCACATGTGGGCCGTGTTCTCTGAGTCAGGTTGAGCAGCGCGGCTCCACCTATACGCTGCGTCATCGCTCCCTGCCTCCTTACTTTGTCCCCTCAAATCCCATTTTCTCTCTCAGAGATGCCAAGATTTCTTCTCTCTCTTTTTGGAGTCTTTTTTAGCTCCAAGGAAAAAGATCTAAACCGTTAAAAATGAAAGAATAACGGCAGATGCAGACATTTCTAAAAGTTTTGGAACTTCTTTTTTTTGTTTTAAAACAATACAATATATCCTTCAATGGGATCCTATGAAAGCCAACACAAATGAAGGTACATAATCAGGAAATGGAAAGGGTTCAAAGCTTTTAATTTGAAAACTGTTCAAGCAGTTAAAAAAATAAGTCTGCACCTCGAGTGAACTTTTGCCTGAAAGGGTTTAAATTCAAGGTCAGAAAGTTCAGCTTTGCTCTAATCTGACATCTGAGCCGAGTCCATAAAGTGGCTCCTTGCAAACTTTCATTAAGGTATTTTCTAATTTTTACATAAAGAACAGATTTTAAGAATGCACCACAAATATTTTTCCAACTTGAGCTGTAGATCTCTGCAGCTCCTCCAGAGTTACCTTTGCTCTTTCCTCAGCCTGGCAGTTTTGATGGATGGCCTCATCTTAGCAGATTTACAGTTAATTCATTGAATTGAACTGAGCTCTTTGAAAAGGGCTCAGAATATTGTTTTAGAACATAACCATGCTTTAAATGCATAAAAACCCAGAAGACAACAGAGAAGCTAAAGTTAATCCACATGTAGCTGAGAGAGGGTATCGGCACAGAAAGGTCTGAGCATAAAGATCAAACCTAACAATGCCAGGGGAGCTGTAATAAGCTTAGTAATACTTGTGTCACAACAGTGAAGAGAAGTAAAGGAATAAGGAAGAGGAGCAGAGTGAAAACGAAGAACCCATGAAAGAGAAAAGAAGAGTGGACGAACAAGAAGAGGCTCTTTCTGCTCTGGTACCAGCTGACTGGACTAAGGCTAAATTAAAAATCACCAAACTTTGTCTACTTATTCCTATTTTCTAAGGATAACTGGATGTGTTGCTACAATAAAGGTAAAAAAATAATAATAAAAAAATTAACTTTAAAAAGGCCTTTTTCCCAAAAGCCTTTTTAAAATCCTTCTATAGAAACTGGAGGATTTAACCAAAGCCCAGAAGAAGATAGACTATGCGAGTTATCTGACTTTAAAATAAATGAAGTACCGTACATTTCATTTTGTATTGTCCTCTGTATAACTACGTTAGACTTGTATTGATGGATGAAATACTTAAATAAATGCCTAAGTTGTTTTAGAGAAGTGACTATAACAAGATTAAATTATTTTTTAACTGCCATGTCTATAAGTTGACGATGTTTATTTGTAAAGCTTGGAAGAATTGGTTATTTGGATAAGATAGCAATTCTTTTGTCTGTACATAATGTCTGGAATACATGATATACATTTAACCTGTGTTGTCATTTAGGGCTGGGCATATATTACTGTATATGCATGACACAATAATAAAATTAAATCAAACCTTTTAATTGAGTAAAGCTTATCACAGAAGACTGATAATATTCATTTTTAGGTTTTATTTAGTATCAGATATTGTTGAGCTGATGCTATTTTTTGGCCCTGATACTGATACCTGGCTGTGCAGTATTGGCCGATACCGATACCATCCGTTTGAAATTGATGTTCTCAGACATCTGTCTTTTGGCCTCACTCTTTTCGTCCCACTGTTCTTTCCAAAGAAGTAAACTGACAGGGTTTGTTGCTGCTGTCCTTTCCGGTTTCTCTTGGCAGTCTCGAACTCTTTGTGTTCGTTCACATGTTTCGAATTCAAATGTTTGATCAGGTTCGAGGTACTGAAACTTACGGGGTTTAACTCCACCTCTCGAAACTTTCAGGTCGCAAATCTTGCATTAACCAATGTACTTGCCGGCTTTTCTATAACAAAATACCTCTACACCTCAGACATTTTCTTCTCCTGGTTTGCTTTCCCAGCAGCTATTGGCTTGATCTGATTGGTCTGGAGCAGGCCAATAGCGAACATCAAAATGGTATAGGTGCCCTATTTGTTGGTACTCACCGAGGTGGATACCACCATTTTAGTGCTACACCGATACCAATACTGGTATCGGTGCAGCACTGGTATCAGAGTGGATCAAGCAGACATCAAGACCCAATAAAACACACTAAATGGAGAAAATGTTGGACAGTTGTAATACACTGCAGAGCTTCCCTCAACCTTTGGCCATCAGATTCATATTTTCAAGCAAAATACTTAAGCTGACAACACAAATTGAGCTCTAATGAAACCCTGGAGTCACAGCAGACATTGTTAATTTCTTACAATTGTAATTTTAAATACTGCAACTTCTACAGACAACCGCCCTGTTTGGGGGGAAAATCCGGACATTTTGTCTCCTCTTGAAATGTAAAACATGCATAAACAGGATGAAACATCCAGACCTCCAGACTAATTCTGTCTGGGTTTAATTGCCATTTTATAACTCCTCCTTTGGGAGTACGGACAGAAACAAACTAAAAAACATTTGGATTTCTTTACCCAGTTAAATCGTTTTCTTATGATTCAGAGTTTTAGATTATCAAGCAGATCAGGAATGCAATGAAGAATCTAATCGTTTATAAAAAGTAATTTCAGTGTGAGAGTTTTGAATCCCCTCTGTTCAGTCGTCCTCCTGGGAGAAAATGGGTTTTGGGAAAATAGCAGTTTTCTCAAGGCGCCCCCTACTTTTATTCCCCTGTTGTTCCTAACTCCACTTCTTTTTTCTCCCTGTACGTCTTTCTATGCACTCCTAAAAAATGTTTGGAGGAAAGAATCTTGTTGGGCTCTATTACTTCAGCACAATACTTGTAAGATTTTAGGGCATAGGAAAAGATCATACAGAAGAACATGATGGTGAGTTAGTTCAGGAAACAGATGATGAATGTGAGAACAGAAACGGCAGCAGAGAACCATAAATCTAAAACACTGAGGAAGCAGTAGGATGATCTTAGGGGGACAGAGCAGAACATATTTGGACAGTCTGTATAAGAGAGAAAAAGCAGAGAGGCAGCCTGGACTGAGGGACTGAAGCAAAGAGAGGGATGTGGAAAATGTGGCTGATCTGTGACCTGGCCACCGCTCAAAGTGCATGAAGTGTTTTTTTTTTTTTGTTTTTTTTTTTCTGTGGCTCACTGAGACAAATGCAAAGACATTTTTTATTCAGGAAACCATAGCATTAGCTATTTTTTTCCTTAGCCCCTGAAATGAAACACAGATTTCTGTATTTCTGTCTCCAAAAAAAAAGAACTGAAAGTGTAAAATCCTGCTTGTGACCAGCAATTTTAATGAGTCCTACTTCTCTCTTTTTTTGGGGTGTTTATGAGAAAATGAAAAACGCTGCGTTGGAGTGTTCGATGATCGGAAGCAGCTTCCAATATGGAAAACCCCCGTCCATCCGCATGTGCCCTGTGTCTCTTCCCAGCATCCTCTATTTCCAGCGTTTTTTTTTTTTTTTTTACTGTGGATGGAGCCAGCATGAGTTGGCATGGAAAAATCCCACCACACTTTACAGTCAAACACACAGCAGCTTAACATCACCGTTTGGAACGAGCGGTGAGAGACTCACTGAAGCCTTTCAGGAGAATTTAACGTCCACCCTATTTTTTTTCCACAACATCCACCTCCTCTGTCTCTCCTAAAGTGGCCTGTCATCTGTCTCAACGCTTTGCAGATTAAACTGGCCTGGCAGAGGCGCAGTCTGGCTTCTTTTATAAACACTGACCAAGTAAAAGAGACAGACGGAGATCTTTTATTTTTGAGGGGCTAACAGATCTCATTTTGAAACAACGTGGAAATCAAATTCAGATTACCCTTAACAAGCTTAAAAAAGTGCATCATTATATATCTTTATTTGTTTTTTTAATTATATTCCTACTAAAGATCAAATAAATATAGTTTTTTATTGTGGAAGCATGTATTCTAACAAATTGCCTGCAAAATTATTGGCACCCCCTAAAGAATATTGATGAACATATGAGCATTGTGGAAGATGCTGCAAGGCTTTTTTTTTATTTCTTTTTTCAGAACTTCCTGCTTACATGTCAGATTTCACAGCAACATAAACTCATTCAGTCTCTCAGATATGAATCTGACAGTATTGGCTGTCATCACATACAATTAACTAACATTAACCCTCATGGCAGGTGTCCAGAGTGTTAAAAAAGTCAAAGATGCTTCTGAAAAGTATTATAAGTGGGGCTGTAAGTAACTGTAGCGCATATTATGTCTTTTATAACTCATTTGATCATGCTGAATTAAAAAAAATGACTTAGAAATGAATTAAATGTTGGATTATTCTGCGAAAATATAAAACTATTAAGAGAAATGTTTGGTTTAAGCTTTTTACTACATTCTTGGTGAGGCTGCCAATGTTTTTGGAAAGTGCTGTTGTATCGTCCTATGAAGCAATGAAATATTCAGTATAGTTGTATCTATTCTCCAGAAACCACAGAGGATCATGACCAAAATATCAGCTAAAAGGAAATCCAACAAAATCTGAATCCTGCAGACCGGTAACAGAGTTTTAAACACCAAACCTTTTTTGATACTGAACAGGTCAGAAACTGCTGAATCAGCTCAATAAAGAAGTCTTTATTGAAATATTGAAGGTTTGTTAAACACACAAACCCATGATGTCACCTGGATTCTTGCCTACCACCATCAATCACTAGATCCAGTTATTGCAAACACTAAAGAGTTCAAACTCCTAATGATGCCTAATTAAAGCAAACGGATGGTGCACGTTCCAAACTGCTAATCGACCTGACGTCTGGTTTTTCAGGAGAAACCAGCAGAGTATTTATTTATTTTTTTAATTGAACAGAAACCTTAACTGTGCCTCAACATGTTAGTGCAGAGAAAGTATTGATTCACTTGTTCTACCCTCTTACTGGGTCTCCTTTGCACCTGCTGGCTTTTTTGCTACTTTAGTGCAAAGAGGAAGAGTGAGGAAGCTTGGATCTCAGCCTTGAACTTGAAATACTCCTAACGGCCATCCAGAGAGTGGAAAAAAACATCTATACTCTCGAAAGACCCACCTCCTTCTTGGGTGCGAAGCTCCACCCAGGGAGACCAGTCAGACTGTCCCTGGCTGCTGTCACAGGCCACCCTGACGGCATAGAGCGTGTGGGGCTCCAGGTCCTGGATTAGATGGGTGGCTGGTGGGATGTTCACATTCTGGTTATGGATCATCTTATCTGAGGCTGCTGGGAAGGAGTCTCCAGACTGTTTGGCCTGAAACATTCAGATAACGGAGTGTTAAGTTGTTGCAGTTTCATATTGGGTTAAACAACTCCAGCCTTCATGTGTGGGAGTTTATCTGTCTGCTGTAGCTCTAAAGACAAAAACAGGAACAGGCTGTTGCTCCCAAAAGAAAAACAAAAAAATAACTTAAAATTAAAACCAGAGGATAAATAAAAAATAACAGTAAATCAAAAAACAGAACTTATAGGCCGTCTGTCATATTTAATCACATTATACAAAAGAGCTAGAAAAAGGCGATCCTATCATTTGCTTTGAATTAATTTCATCTGATCCAAATACTAGTATAAAAGAAAGGGTATAAAACTTGAAAAGGAATATATCCCTTGTTTCAGAACATCTCAAAAATGTTGAAAGATTGAGCCCTTAATCCAAGTACATTTAGTTACAGTTATTTTAAGCAACTTAGGATGTTTTGAAGAGATTTCATCCATTTCTAATACATTACTAATTGAGGACCTAGCGAAAGGTGACATTTTTGTCACCTTGTCTTCATAACAACTCTTAGACAGAATGATAAAGGCTTTTTAGTTCTACCATGACAAATTATGATGTGGACTTTGTTAAAAGCTACCAGGAATCAAGTGTGCTTTGTTATGCTCCTTATTAGAGTTAGAAATTAAAGATGTTTAAAGATACAAAAAAAAAAATCTGATTATCTGTGGCTCAAAACTTGAAGTTATTAACTATGGGGTCTTTTTGCATGACAACATATGGCAAAGTCAACTCAGAAAGAGACATAACTCAAACCTCTGTCTGAGTTCCCAACATTATTTCTTTTTTAAGCTACTAATAAAACATTGAAATGAGTTAAAGAAAGGAGACCATGCAAGAAGATTTAGGAATGCTTCCTGATCCAGAAAGTTGTGAAAAAGAGAACCTCATAATCACAACGTTCCTTTCTACCTCCGTTCTAAAGTGTGTGCTTTATTACTAGTACACATTTCCAGGTTTAGCATGAATTGCACCTTGCATTGACAAAAAAGGTGGGAGATTTAATAAAGGGCTAAATCTCTGCAGTAAAATTGGCTAAACACACCCCTCCCACAGCAAGGCGCACCAAACGCTAAGGACATCAGCCAAAAACCAGAGGCAGAAACCTGCTGCCTCTGCAAACTCCCTGTGGTAAAGGCATTCTTTTAAAAGGGGAACACAAAGGAAAAAGTTTTTACTGCAGCAATCCCAAAACCACATTAAAGCTGTTTGTCCGGCGCATTGTTCTGCTGCTGCTGCTGTGCATTAAAGGCTGCTAACATAAATAATTGCTCCATAAATGAGGGACATGATGGGAGCTGGTGCTGATGAGGATGCAGGTTTTTAAATTGGGAGCATTCAGACGCAGCATTAGGGGCTGGATTTCTTTTTCTCATGCCGTGATTTGGAGAATTAGGAAGTTGTATGACTGGTTGGAGAGACAGCCGGAAAAACAAAAACAAAAAAAAATCCATGAACTGGCCTGTGTGACAAGTGTGTTTGATCTACTGGTACAGCTCAGCCTGAGTCATACTCCAGTATCTGCTCTCTTTAAATGTCTCAGGCCCACAATACCTGCTGTCACTGCTTTTTTCCTATTTTCATTCACTCTCTCTTTTGTCCCCTTTTGCCTCCTTTCATGTGGGACAAACTTAAGCCTGTGTGCTCTCTACACTACAGCCTTTTTCATGTTCCCCCTCTCTATGCAATGAACTATTAAACTCAGATTTTTGCCCCACTTTGTTGGAGTTGGCCCCTTGTCTTGTTTTCCTCCCTTGGGGAGGAGGGGAGCGTGAGGGGCAGCTTTATTAGAACCAGACATTTAGGGGTGGTGCTGCAGAGTTCCTATTTTTTTTTTTTTTTTCTGGAGAAAAACCTTTCTCCTTTCAGCTACAAGAGGCACAGAGCTGCATAGTGGCAGCCAGACACAAGGAGAGGGAGTGGTGCTACATGAGATTAGTCCAGGAGGCCACTTTCCCAGAGCGAAACCTGATCCAGACATGCATGAAGAAAGCAGGGAGGGCCTACAGGATGAGTTAGGCAACACAAAGAAAAGGAATCAGGCTTGTAGAAGGTTGGGCCCTGGTCTATATAATCAATTCTACAAATATGGGGAAGGGGCAATGTTTAACATCCAGGTCAAACCTGCTGGCTGTGGAATTCACACGTAACCTGCTCACCTGAACAGAGCAACGGATTATTGGGTAGACGCCTCCAAAACCAGGCTGCCATGATAAACGAAGGGTGGTCTGAGTGATTTCTACAGCTCCCACTTTCTGAGGTGGGGATGGAAGAACTACAGAGAGACAGAGACACCAAAACATTGGAGGATATGCATTTCCTACAGTCAGAGATTCTGCACACAGATTTTTTAAGGGACATTTACCAGTGATGGTTCCAGACCCAGAGGTGGCCACACCCTTCTGGTTATGCGCTTCACAAGAGAAACTGCTGGTTTTGTTCAGACCTGGATGGGGAAAGAGAAAAATAAATGAAACATGCTCATGGGAAGCAAAACTACATCAGATTTAATGTCTCAGCATAGTGAGCAGGAAACAGCATTAATGTGAACCTTCATGCTGATTCCAAAAAAAGTGATTATAAAAAAAGTTTTTTGAGAACTAATGACTTGACAAACTTTTTTTGCACATTTAGGCTTAATGTGAAATCCTTTCTGCTTACAAATGGTGTCACAACAGAAACAGGCTATCTAAAACAGCCTGCAAGTTCCAATAAGTAACCTCTCAATTCCATAAAGTAACATGCAACTCCCATAAAATATCCTATTATTTAAAGGATTTCTTCCAGTTAACGGTTACTAACATAATACAACCCAGCCTATAAAAAAGCAGCTACTATATTTTGCAAAGAAATAACTCCTGAAAAGCCCAGTAACATGTCGGTTCCAAAGGAGATACTCATCTTTTAGTAACCTTTTCTAGAAAGCTGCCATTACAAGTCACCTCATAGCCTGATCCCTTTATCACTATAAAGTCTGATCTTATGTCAAATGTGGAAATAAACCAGAAAACACATACAGTACAGGTTCTGAAAAGCACCAAAAATAGTCTCTAAAGATAACCAGAAAAGAACAAAAAGTTTCAGTAGTGGACATTTACTGATAGGATTCTACATTAAATTCACCATCCACTATTTCTCCTCATTTGTATATTTCGAAAAGGTTTACTCAATTTTAGTCTATTTACAGTATAAAGCTAAATCCAGGAATTCGTTCAGAAATGAAATGCTACCTATTATAGAGAGGAGGAGTTTAATTACAGGATATCCCTCTTATTTTAAATGCTATTCAAAGCCAAGAAATTAAATTTGTTTTCGCAATACAAGAATTTCCCAGAAAAATAGCAACCACACATTATGAGAGAGGTCCAAAATGTCCAAAAGATGTAGATCTCCTTATCTAGATGCTTTGCTTATAGATCATGGTATGAATTTAATCTGTGCACTTTTCCATGGATTTTGATTTGAGAAAAACATTAGTCAAAATCTATTCAACCTGTTAATGAAAGGATCCAACTTAAAGATCAAACCTCTGGCCTAAGTATGTTGAACAGATCAAATCTAAATTGCAGTTTTGATTGCTTTTAAACAGTTTGTCTCTTTAAAAAAGTAGCCTTGTAAAGTTCTGAGAACAAAGGGAGGTATGGGTTGGTGCTGGGGTCTAGTTGAAAGACTGCTGCCCATGCAAGCCGGGGGCTCCTCTAAAGGGAACAAGAGCGTGACACATTCTGACTTTGGAGAGAGAATGAGTCCTCTCACAGTGAGTCACAGCGTGCTCACACACTCGACACATTCCATAACACAAAAACAGGCTAAGACACACACATCTAAACATGTGGCACTTAAGTTTCATCACTGTTATCTAACAGCCCAACATCGCCAATCCACCACAAACTGAGGCTTGCACAGAATCTCGTTGTCCCGCACCAGCGGCACCAAGCCTCCATTGTGTGGGGCCGGAAAAAGAACAGGGGGTATGATCCTCACTGGTTGAAATGAGGGGTTTGTTAGCGAGGAACAAGAGGGAGGGAAGGCAATTTCGCCACATGCTTCTGTGCTTCTTTGCTTCCCCATCAGTAAACCGCAAAATGACTGTCTTCCAGCTCAAAATGTCAAATTTTCCACTACAAGAAATCATAGTATTGTTAATTGTTATCAGAGCATTGACTAACTCTGCTGGGATTACATTGTTGGTGCCATTTTCTTTTAATGAAGGGTAATTAAACATAAGTCTCAAATATGCTAATAAGCTATACTAAAACAAGCTTTCATGCTGTAATGGTAATGGAAACATGTTGTTGTTGCATATATAGTCAGGTACTTAAAAAAAAACATTATATAAAAAAACAGACAGCAGAAACAGAACCCACTCTTTGGAGACTTGTAAAAATCCCTATAGGGGAGTCAAGCTAACAGCTGCTAAAAGCATATTTTTGTTGAGAGTTTGACCTGTGCCTTTCCTTTTAGATCTTAGTCTTTCACTTGTCGTAATAATCAAACTATTGCTTTTTTTTAAATTAGTCTTTCAACTTTCCTCTCTTGACATTGTTCCATTCTTCTATCCTGCAAATATTTGGGGGCTTGTCCAGGATATTTACCAGAATGTTTGGCATGTTCCTTGATTCTTCCATTTTTCTGACTGCAAGTGCTATGTTGTCAGTGTGAATTATTCATTAGTGCCAAAAGCCGACAGTTAAAAGAAAAACTTATTTTCCAAATATGACACAAAGAAAATATTGCTTTGTACATTCAGGTTACAAAACACACTTCCCCTCCCTATGCCCCTGATGGCACCCAGCAATACTTCCAGGCACTGTTCTTTATATAAGCATTAATGATTTCTGCACAAGAAAACAAACCAATACAACATGATACTGACATATTTTTGCCTGAATGTTGCATTAATTTTAATTTTAATTTGGTGATATCATTGTGGAAGCATTAAAGATAATCTCTTGTATGCAAAAAGGGTGAATTTTTAAAATGCCTTAAAAAGTTGCTGAACTGTTAAGAAGGTAATATTAATCCATAGATCTAGAAATTAGATTTTAAGTAAGGCCTACTATATGTAGTTTTTAGCTTGAAACCATCAAAGTAATTTTTCCTCTGAATCTACAATTTAAAGCCAACCTACTGATTTCTGCTGGAAATGAAACACTAACTACTTGATATCCCACCCATTTTCAGAGAACAACTACCTTTCCAAGGGCATAAATAGTAAATTCTCTTATCAGAGGGTTAAAGACAGCCATGGGCTCACAAAAACACATGGCATCAGTCCTTATGCAATGCTTTCTGATAATGAAACGAGAGGAAGCCACTGAAAGCGGCACGTGTTGCTGATAATTTCTCAATGGATGGAATGTTCTTCATGCCATTTATCTGGATAATTTTTTTCAACAACAACGTTTGTGTTTAACTTTATTTAATCTGAGGTCTACGAGCACAGCTGTCCATTCCAAACACATGAGTGTGGGTTACCGTCAAACAGCGGACGGGCCTCTAGGATGACTCAAGATGACTCCCTTAATAAGAAGCTGGTGTTGTTGGCTTTTCGTTACCTATCCACTCTGACTCACCCTTTCCTCTTGCCCCTGAGTTGTGGGCTGCATTCAAGTGGCAGCAGTCTTTCTACTTTTCTCTCTCTCCATCTTTTCTTATGAACATCCTTTCTATGCAGCAACAACAACTTTCTAGACTCAATCTTTGTAACACAACTTATCCTGTACAGTTTTTGAAGCTGGTTATTGAATTCAGTAGCATGGTTACTAAACACTTTACGAAAACACATATTTTGAAGGGTTGATCTTTTTTCACCTTCATAGTTTAAAGAAGAAAATTATTAGTAGTGAAAGTGCAAAAGATTCTCTTCCACTGTCAAGAAATTTCCAATTTCCTTCCCTCAAAAAAGCTCACCAGCCTCAACCTCAGACTACGTCATGGCTGCCCTTGGCTGAGCGTTTATTTCTTGTGACTTCCTGGACTAATAGACAACGAGAATCTGATCTCAGTCTGTTAAATAATCAAATTTAAAATTTGTAATCATATAATATCAAAACAGGCAGCAGAATCTACCAGAAATTAGCAGCAATGTGATGCTAATCAAATGCAGCAAACAATGTAATGGCCACTTTAAAACAACTGCTTTAAAAGTAGAATATTTGGAATTTCTCTTTTCTGTTCTCTGTTCTGGAAAAAAAAATGCTAAGCTGTGGAGACATCAGCAGTCTGAGAAAGACAAATGATTTCTGCTCATCAACCTGGAAAACACAGTGGAAACACTTTACCAAATATAGGAGATTTAGAATGGCTGCCAATACTTTTAATTATAATCTAAATTTAGCCCAAAGACTGGGTGGTTCTAGAAAGGGGCCTACAGGGGCCAGTTCCCTTCGATGGCTCCTGTACCACAGACATAATACTAAAACAATCTCTTATGATGATATGCACTGGTACAAAAACCTTAATTTAACAAGAATTTCTAAAGAAAGTAGTTTTCCTTTTAACTTCAGCTATATTGACATATGATCCATTTTTATCTGTTAGACCTTTACTCGAGGGCTACAAGGGCCTCTGTGACTTACTTAATGTATTAAATGATTTACTATTTCCTGTCATTGCATTCATTGTTGTTATCCACACTCCTGATCAAAATCTTAAGACCAGTCAAAAAATTGCAAGAATTTGCATTTTGCACTAATTAATCTTAAGAAGGTTCAAAGCTTCACAATGTTAAAGGAAAAAATCGGTGTGAGAGACAAGAACTTTTGAGCAGGTAATTTTCTGAAAACTGCATTTACACTCAAGCATATTTTTTTCAGCTGATCAAAAGTTTAAGACCATAGTCTTTAAAAGCCAAAAGCTGTGCAAAAATCTGAATTCCATGTCATTTTCTGTCAAGTCTTTACACCGTTAAGACCTCCTGATGGCAAAAGCAAAAAAGCTCACTGACTTTGAACGTGGTAGGATTGTTGAGCTGCATAAGCAAGGCCTCTCACAACGTGCGATCGCTGCTAAAGTTGAACGCAGTAAGACAGTAATTTTGCATTTTTAAATGATCCTGAGGGTTATGGAACAAAAAAGTCAAGTGGTAGACCCAAAAAAATTTCACCAGGTCTGAGCCGCAGGATCCAATTGGCTGTCCGTCAAGACACAGGACGATCCTCTACTCAAATTAAGGCCATTACTGGTGCTGACTGCAGCCCAATAACCATCAGATGGCATCTGCGAGAGAAGGGCTTCAGAAATAAAAAAACGTCTTCAAAGGCCACGTCTTCTTCAACGCCACAAAATGCCCGTTTGGACTTTGTAAAGGTTCACCAAACAAGGGACAGTGAAAGGTGGAAGAAAGCTGTCTGTTGAGAAAAAATTTAACCTTGATGGTCCTGATGGCTTCCAACGTTACTGGCATGACAAGGATATCCCACCTGAGATGTTTTCTACACGGCACAGTGGTGGGGGTGCCATCATGATTTGGGGTGCGTTTTCCTTCAGTGGAGCTTCAGGTTGTGCAGGGGTATCAAACAGCGGCTGGCTATGGGGAGATGTTGCAGCAGGCATCCCTCATGACTGAGGGCCCTCGTCTGTGTGGTAATGATTGGGTTTTTCAACGGGACAATGCTGCAGTTCACAATGCCCGCCTGACAAAGGAGTTCTTCCAAGAGAATAACATAACTCTTTTGGACCATCCTGCATGTTCCACGGATCTAAACCCAATTGAGAACAGTTGGGGATGGAGGGCAAGGGAAGTTTACAAAAATGGACATCAGTTCCAGACAGTGGATGCCCTTCGTGAAGCCATCTTGAACACTTGGAGCAACGTTCCCACTAGCCTCCTGGAAACACTGGCATCAAGCATGCCTAAACGATTGTTTGAAGTCATCAACAAGAATGGTGGAGCTACTCATTACTGAGTCCTTTGTTTGACAATTTGATTTCTGTTTTTGGGGTTTTGTTGAGCTATGGTCAAACTTTTGATCAGCTGAAAAAAAAATCATGTTTGAGTGTAAATGCAGTTTTCAATTAATTCCCCGCTCAAAAGTTTTTGTCTCTTACGCTGATTTCTTCCTTTAACATTGTGAAGCTCTACTTAGAACCTTCTTTAGATCCAATAGTGCAAAATACAAATTCTTGCAATGTTTTGACTGGTCTTAAGATATTGATCAGGAGTGTACCCTAATGAAAAAACACCACTTTGCTAAAGGTAGACTCAGCAATGGGAAAAAGAGCCCAAAAGCTGTTGCCAGGAAATGCTTTAGGCTGACTGGAGTCCAAACCTGCATCTGAATGAACAAGATTCAAGGGACTGATGAAACAACCCCTACTACCAGGTAGGACTGTCCAGATCTGATGCTGATATCGGAAATCAGTCTAAAATCAGAAGAAAAACTCATATGATAATTGAGGTTATTAGAATATATAAGGCTGCTTATTAAAACTCTGATATTAGAAAGTTCATATATAAAAAATTCTTCACATCTATCCTCTTTTTTTTTTTAAGTTTATGTAACTCTGGTTAGTTAGACATTGGTCAGTTCTTTGATGGATACTAAAAATAGATATGATTGATGCTGATATTGTATCAGGTCAATATCTGTGCCAACATTAAAGTATGAGGAATGATTTTGGCTGTTTTATTTTTATTTTTAAACAGCAATATGACCTGGCCTGCTTGTTGGTAAATCAGAACAGAACTCAAGAGTTAAAGGTTCTTTTTTCATTCCATTATCATAATATAAAAAAAACTAACTTATCTGTATACCAAAGTATTCTAGAGTCAAATGCATCTAAGATGGCTATCCATCTGTCTGCTGAGGCATTGCCCAAACTGGGTCATTATTGGGTATTGGTCCCAAACACACCAGCATATTTACAACAATGGCTAAAAAATAAGGGGAAAAGCATAAAGTTATATAAGACGAACAACAAACTTAATACCTGCTCTATTGAAAATTATAAGACAACTAAAGATTTTGATCATTTTAAACAAGTTTATACTGCAAAAAGTGCTTTTTAAAAAGGGAAAATCAGAATGACACAGAGTCATATTCAGCCTCTATCTGGGTAAAAACATTGCACTTTTTTTTGCCTTGCAAAATATTTGGAAACACCATACAATTTTTAATTATTCCCTGATCCCTGAAGGTTTACCGATCATAAATAAAGCAAAATTCAGGGAAAGGCGCTACCTGTGAGGTTGAATGTTGAAGGGGACAGGGCCACCGGGTCTTTCAAGGAGTTTAGTGGAGCTCCATCTTGCAGCCAAATGACCCTGACAGGCTCTGGAGGTCCGTGGGCCACACATCTTAGACTCAAAGACACATTGGCCACAACAGACATGTGCTGAGGCTCCACAGAGAAATGAGGAAGACCTAAGAATGAAGTAGCTGAATCAGTATTTTTCACAGTTGAACATAAACACGTCCCACATCGGTTTGGGAACTTACCTTCCAGCTGAATGCGTCCTACATCAGACAGAGTTTGATTCCCGTCTGATTGAGCAGCACATCTGTAGGAGCCCATGTCAGTGAGCTTAACATTTCCGATTCTATGAAGATAAGAATGATGCAAAAAATTTAAAGTAACATATAAAACTAATAAACAACAGAGAAAGATGGAGAGAAAATTAAAAATAAAGTTAAACCCAGTTTGTAAGTAATATGTTAAGCAGCAACAAGAAAGGATTTTTGCTGGATTTATGTAATTTCATTCAGATCGAATTTAATCAAGAATTACTGGAAACCCAATGGTGACATAATTCAGCATTCAGAAAGCAGATAAAGTGCAAATACGGTAAACAAAAAAATGCAGAAATGATTATTGTTATGCAAGGTAAGGCTTCTGCAGAGCGGATCCCTAAATCCCATTAAGCATTGCACAACATGAAGGAGATGCTTCATACCGCAGGGTGCTTCTGACAATCCAGCTGTTACTGCTGTGAACCTGGACGTGGTTGGTGTCTGCAAACTGAAGAGGAGCACCGTCTTTTAGCCAGACCACATCAGGAGGCTCCTCTTCCTCACTTCTGGTTACCTTTAGTGCACAGTCCAATGATACAGGTTTGCCCAGCGAGGAGATGACAGTGCTGGGACTCGTTTCAAATGTCAGGTCTTTGTTTGAGAGAGGGAGAAAAGAAAGAGGAAAATCGTAATCTATGTTAGAACCAGACTGTTTTAGATTCAAAAGCTCACACCTTGTTTGAAAACAAACTTTCCGAAGCCTTAAACTTTGAGGTTATGATGAAGGGTTGATATAAAAATATTTACATAAAACAGAAGACCTACATAGAACATAATAATAAAAAAAGTCACTGTACAAACAGATTAAAACAATTATTGAACAAAATGATTTTCTGATCCAAATAAAACACTGCAGAGACACACAAACATTTACATTGTTTTATAAAACACTTTAGAGCTCTGAACTGTTTTCACATTTCTTCACCTTAGAACCACAAACCTAAATGATTTTTTATTTGGATTTCTTTCACAAAACCCAACCAAGTAATGTGATTATACAGTAGAGGGAAATAAATGGTTTCAAATTCTTTCACAAAGAAAAAGAACAATAAAAAAACATGGCAAGTATTTGCATTCAACACATCAAGAAATGCATTTTGATTAATGCTTCTTTGCAAATGCAAAACAACTAAAACTGTATAAAACTCAGATTGAGAGAATCAGAACAGAATCTTAGAACAGATTCTCAAGATCTAATTGTGGACTTTGAGGAGGATACTGTGATGTAAACCCTTCCTCTGGCTGAGTCTCTAGGTGTCCTGCTGTAACACGGGCCTACCCCCCTGAGTTTTAGTTATCCCTATTGAAAAGGACCTTTCAAAGATTACTAAGCCCCATACCTCCTCCTATCAACTCTGACCAGGGAAAGAAAGCCATCCCCTCAACACCATGCTGCCCTCACTGTGTGCTACTGTGATGCTTTTAAGGTGATGAGTAGCTTCAGTGTTCCACCATGCAGGCCTTAATTTAATGGTTCAACAGATTCCCCTTCCTGAGCTTTGGCTCTCTGCAGCTTTTCAATAGTCTCTAAGCTTCCGGTCTGATTAATGCTCTCTATGTGGCCTTGGAGGAGACGTCTGGGCGAAAAGTTGCCCCTGCAACCTGGTTCAAGACAAAGCAAAATACGACACATAGAATATAGTGCATGGTCTGTCAGTTAACGGCAACAACCGTGACTTTTGTCATCATCCTGTTTCTACTTTCATATAATGGATTACCAGAACTCGGGGAGGTGTTCAAGGCTTGATGCATTATAGTATAACCTATAAACTAACCTATAGGTGACCTCTGAATGTCTTAGCTGCAATGGGGTCAGGGTTAAGAGAATGAAACAGATTCAGAAAACGGTTTTATTTAGCATGAAATTAAGAAAAACACTTAGTTTACAAAATATATATTTTTGTTATTATTTTCTTCTTCATAAAAGTTCAAGGTATGTGACTATTTAGATGTATTGGTCAAAGAATGAATAGAAGTTGCTCACTTTAAACCTGACTTTGGTCTACAGCATGTTATCCACCCAGACCTTCATGAGGCTCCGTCCTGATTTACCAGAATTACCAGATGTTAGCAGGTTCCCCAGTTAACGACCTGTCAGTTTCTGCAAGGTGTGTTTCAGCAGGAAGCATCCACAATATGCTGAGAGATGTTCTAAAGCACCAGAACAAAGGAAGACTGGTATCTATAGCCTTTATTATCATTTAAATATAAGAAACTGACTTGAACCAGCACAATATGTCCTGATTAATGATGCGATGATCTCTTTTGTTGCAGCTGACATTTCTAGAACCCAAACATGTCCTCTGGCATTTTAAGAGTTCCAACAAACACCCTGCCGCCAATTTGTGTGTCTGACAAACATTGAGAGTAAACTAGCTTGATTTTTTTGATAAATACAGATGCAGCCAAAGTTTATCTGCCAGCACACTGGTGTTTGTCTGAGTCGCAGTGATAGTGAGGCTGACTTAAGAAGGGCTGTGCTGATACAGCCAGGGACAAAGGCCTCTTGTAGGGAGACGCCTGCTTCTGATAATCAAAGTTCAGCACAAGCTAAACAGAATCAGCTTTTTCTAAGAAGAGAGTGGGTCATCAGCCAAGACACTCTACAGTCATATTAACAGTTACTATAAATATAATAAGTCTAAACATCTCTTGTTGCTCTGATTTTAAAAAATGTTAAATATGAGAAGTGTTTACATTGGCCTTAAAGGAAAGGCATGCTAGATCAAAAAATGGGTTTCCTGTATAATTTAAAGCAGCTTAGAACAGAAAGTCCTGCAAACTGAGCTTCTCTAACTTCTGGACAAAGACATCCTTAAAGGTTTTTACTGTTCTTGATCTCACAGAGCCATCCCAGTAAAGATTTTCCCAAGCTTGTCAGACAGCCATCTAAATCTGCATCAGGGTCAACCTTTGACCTTTGATCCCAGAGGATTCAGCGGGAATACTGCTCTAGTTAAAGGCAAAAGAACGCTGCGGGTTCCACCGTCAGCACTGTTTGCTTAACGAATAACGGATTAGGATTTTAATGCTGGTGACAACTCAAAAGCTTGTCTGCTTCATATACTGCTCTCTCTCTCTCTCTATTTGGCTTTTGCATCAATGGTCTTTCTTGCCTTTTATTTTCATGCTTGGTTGAGCCCTTTCAAATATCTGGGTGACCCTGAATTAGTATTTACTCAAACAAAAACCCTCTCTACTTTCCTTCACTGTATCTTTTGGCATGCTTTCAGTGAGGCTTGTAACGCTTTTGTGAGAATACAGAAACGCAGAGACACCAGCCGCTGGACAAGCAGTGGTTGTGTATTTGTATGTGTGGTCCTTCTCCGGTAATTCATTTGTGCTCAACCCCTGATGTTTTCGTCACCCATCTTCCCGCTGTGGTCCAACACTTACATTATAATCTGTCTCTTTCCCTCTTCATCCATGCCGCCAAATGTAAACAGGCGCATACCAAAAATGCTTTCAGCCTTCGCTGTTATCCTCCTTCCATCCCCTCCCTGATGCTTTTGACTTTTAAACGTGATTCCTCCCTTACATTCGGAGCCACGCCTTTGCCCTTTCCTCTTTTTCATTCCATTCTTTGGATTCATTGCTGCAGTTTTCAGCAGCCCAAACCCCTTTCTCCTCCTCTGTTGCCCTCTCAGGCCATCCATCATTTCCCGCGCTTGACGCTGACTCAGAGCGGCTTTGGCAAGCCAAATCATTTGCACCCCTTAACACCCCCCCACTTCTATAAATCCACTTAGCAGAAGGAAAATGAATCAAACTCATAGTTTCTCTCCTCTTATTTCAAACCTCCTGAAACACATTCAACTTGTTTCTTAAACTTTCTACGCTGTTGAAATCTGTGATAAACAAGTCTGACTTCAACAGTTTTTGCTAAACAAGCTTTATTTCCTGCTTTTGTTTGCTGGTTAGGATCTGCATGTCAGAGGGTTCAGAGCATCTGCCGCTCCAATGCACATGTGAAATTCCACAAAGGAGAAAAAATATCCTTAAAACACCTGCAATAACACTGCAAACATATCGCCATGTAAGAAACACTCTTCGTTACCGTCTTGCTGATTCTTCCACGTCACCAACGGTTCTAACCTAAAATGATTTAGAGGAAAAGATGGCATCTCTCTTTAGGATTCTTTATGGGATTTTGGAAAAGTAGCAGCATTCCTCCAAAGAGAGCATCATCCTCAGTCAGCCACTTAATCTTAGGGAAATTCTGAGTTTCCAGAACATTTTTATGGTTGTAGAGGAACCTCGACCTTCAATTGTTAGATTTCTGACTCCAGCCGGGGATCCAGTTTATTTCCCCAACTGGGGCTAAAAATCTAGTTTTAATAAAGTAGCACCTGCTTTGGTTTTTTGACACACTTCAAATTATCCTCCAAAACCATATTATTACTCATGTATTTAACTCAGGTGCATGGAGAAAGGGAGACACATAAAACACCACTTTCCTTTGGTTCGTTGTCTGTTGTCCATCCTGAAAAAAGTCTAGATCTCATATAGCAATACACCAATAATAGGAAGTCACCTGACTCCTGAACAAATTACGGCACCATGTGTGACTATTGCAATGCTAGAATGTTTCTGATGTGCTGAGTTGGTTTTACGCTAGATGTAATAGGATGGGAAACTTCCAGAAAGTCACTATCTTGTTTTATCAGTCAATTAAATATTTTACCAAAAGTCGGCCTATTGGGAAACATTAAGATATTTAGCCTCACAACTCTCACACAATAAATGTTGCAGTGTTGAAGTAACACTTTGAGTGTTAAAGTAACACTTTGAGAGTACATTTGGTCCCACACTAATTCAGAGTGGGACCAAATGTACTTTTGAATGTTGCTTTAACACTGCAACATTTACTGAGCAGTCTATTCTTGCTCGCTTTTGCTGTTATGAGATCCTGAACTAACATAACTGAGACAAGTGAAGCTTTAGGATGTTGTTCTCACTCCTTTGGTGACCTGCTGAGTTGTCGGTCTCAATTTTGGAGTCATTTTGGTTATTCTGTCATTCCTGGACAGGTTTACGTCTGTTCGTTGTTTTCTTTATTTTTAGACAGTGGTTTTCTCTGTTTCGCAGAGGGCCAAAAGCTTTGGAACCTGATGTCAAACAGATTCACTTTTATTTTTTATTTTTTAGCAGATCCAACAATATGATGAATATGATGAATACATTTAACCACTGTCATTTTTAATCTAACCAGGGGGGTAAGGTTTGTTGAGTATCCATATTTTTCAAGTAGATAATAAGCACATAAAAATAGATATAAAATTTGTGTTCCTTATGCAAAACTTCCCCCAAACTATTTCCACAATAAAATTGTTTCCTCAAGGCAGAATACCCAAATAGGCTAAAACTTATTGGATTATTAGACACAGCATCAAAAATATCAACCAATCACAGAAGCGCTCACAAGATGCGCAACTGGAAATCTTTCTGTGCGCCAAAAAAGAAAACATACGGTAAATTACACCCTCGCATGATTCAAACTGGCCAGTTTTTTTCTTTTCCAGCTCTAGTTTGATCCAATTGGACTAACTGACTAACCGTTTTATAGTTTTTTTCCAATTACATTCATTTTGCTGATCTATTTTCCTCTATATTACAAAGCCTCGTTTAAACATCAGAACTCCAACAACCACAACAAGTATCGATGATAATTAGTTTATATTTGTTTACCAATAGCCAGACTTTGCTGTTTCTCCACACAAATGAAGCAAACAGGTTCTGATCGCTTTTCCTCACACTGACAGCAATGGATAAAAAAAGATGCAGAGTGTTTATTTACCTGACAGCTCTCCACCACGCAGCGGTTTCCAATGAGCAAAAATGACGCAGAGGATCAGAAAAGAGCGTTTCCAGCCCTCCATGGTTTCACCTGAAGAAATCTGAGAGGAAATGAGTTTTCCTGCAGCAGGAATCAATCAAAGCATCTCAGCAGCGAAAATACACTGACTGGGAAAGATGCTGAAAATGATCCACAGCCGTTTCGTTTCCCCCTTTCTTTTCTTTCCTTTTTTTTAAGGTGACCAACTTCTGCTCTAAAGTTGTTCCTTTCCTTCTTTGCGTCACTTTGGAGCTGAATCCAACATACTTCTAACTCCAGATGTTTGCCAGTGGTCTATTTCTAGCGTCTGAAGGAGTATTTTTAAACTTCTCTTCCGTCTGTTCCTCTCTGCTGCCCACCGGCTCCTCTAGACATCCCCCTCTGACTTTCTTTAACCCTCCTCTCTCCACAAAGAGGATTGAAATTCCTCGACTCAAACTCCTTTAACTCGCCTCCTCCTCCTCTTGTTCCTCCTCCTCCTCTCTGAGGTTGTGAGAAGCCTCCCTGCATGCAGATTTTCTTAACACAATTCCTCTTTCTTTTCTTTCTTGAAATGACACACTGATACAAAAGTTTGAAACTGCATTGACCCTGTTTATTTCCCATGAGGACATCAACAAGGCAAACAGAATAAATCCAAACAAACCAGGTATAGAAAGTGGTGAAGGAGTTTTACTACCCAGGTAAATAAACCATCTAGTGTGATTCCTATCTAGTTACACCAAATCAGAAGGTCTGAGTTCTAGAAAACCTGTATAGACTGAATCCTAATGACTTCTTTGAATATTGATTATATGTTTATTATATAAAAGATGCCATAAATAATGAGCAGAAAGACTTAGCATGGCAAATCATTCATACATCACTTCTTTCCTTAAAAGATAAATTGGAGAAAGAGTCTACAATGTCAAACAAAATACTCTAATTAATTTGTTTTGGAGGTGTCCAGAGTTTTCTTTTTTTTGGTTAAATTATCAATGCTTATATCTTTTACCCATTAAAAAAGTGGTTAATTGTTACAGAGAAACAAGAGTTTGTGACCCCAACATGCTGTGGAAAGCAAGAAATAAAAAAATATGAGACAAGAAAAACCTTTTATAAAGGATTATGCATTAAAAGACAAAAATATGAAGGAAAAAAAATGCCTGAGATCCTATTTTTCTAATGTAATAGCTCCCTTCTTTAAAAAGAGCTGTTATTACATTTTGCATGTGCATTCAGGAACACTATTCTGACAATTCCCATCAGAAAAGGATTCTAATTCAATAGATAGCATAGATATGGTGCTTATTTTGAACATTATTAATTTGTTGAGTAATTGTTTTTTTAAAGCTCCCAAAAAGCAGATTGGAGTGGATGTGTTCAAATTGAATATTTTTCTGATTTGATACCCATTTTTTTTTTTTTTTAGAAAGGTTGCAAATTCACCAATTTACTTAGAAACAAAACTATCGCTAAATGTTTTGGTCACTGATAAAAGTGACTAATTTCCTCCTTTTTTAACCACGTTCTTTATTTTATTGGTTTTTACATTTTATTTAGTTTAAAATTTCTTGAAAACATCATATATTTCAAAACTATAGAGGTTAAGCACAACTTTTCCACTTGTCAGTATTTATTGCTTTGTGGCCTCAAAGACTGCCTCTGACTTCATGTCATCAAAAGTTTGAGTCAAAAACTCTGTGCTTGTTTTCGCTGACACATCATCATCAGCAGCTTGTCTCTGACTCACATCTTTTTGTGTGCTAATGATGTTGATGTCTGCTCCAGATGTTATTTTTTCCTTTTCTTTTTTGATTCTGGCTTCTGATTCATCTTCATCTCATGAAAACAATTGGGAGATTCTGGCTCTCAGATTGCTGGCCCTTTAAGAGTGTCTCTGTAGACTGTGTTGTGTTCCCAGGGTCTTTAATGGAAACACAGAGGGACTGAGAAAGACCCCATTGTATATTTTTTCCCTTTCATTAGGAGCCTGAGCACTGGTTTCAGATAGGAGCCGGGAGACAGAGGCAGGGAGGGAGGGAAGGGGGTCATGGAGGGGCTCCTGTACAAGAAAAGAGGGGTGCTCTACTCAGAAACAAACTTTGAAGCTGGATGAGCCTGCAGGGAGAAGTAGATATTTTGGTTTTTCAGGGGGATGGGCCTATCTGGCTTCAAAATATCAATGGAGGATATTTTAAATGCATGCAAGGTGAAAACTGCAGTCTCCTAAGTGGACATTTAAAAAGTCTTCATTAGGGATGAATCAAGTGGTTTTAAGGAGACACCTTGCTGTTGTATTTAAAGGTAAACATTGTATATTTTATCTTTGTGAAGCTGAGTGCTCCAGTGCCCTCTGCTGGAATTGCATTCAAACTGCAAGAGGTGTAAAGTGCAAGGTGAACTAGAGGAATTCACATAAAAATGAATGAATGTTTATAAGTAATTGCATCATCTTTACAGAAAACCTCTCAATGGTGGTTATATGATTAACCTACCTATTCATTAGCTCTGTTTGCTGTTTAGAAAACGATATTTTGATGATATATTGGGGTACAGCACAGCTTGTTTGTACTGGTTTTCACTAACTTGAATAAACTGGTTGTGAAAATCATTGAACTCTGCATGCTGCTGCTAATTCGCTATCCTTGCATGTCTGCAGACTTTCCCATTGTTTGTTTTTATAGATCTCTGCTTTGGCTATTACTTTCTAATTCTGTGTCTTTATAAATACTAAAGACCTAACATGCATGTGCTTTCCCAGAATCCCTGTTCTAGAAGAAATGTGATTTATTAGCACATGCTGTTTCCTGTAATGACAAACAATGTCTAACTTGGTTTTTTTTTCAGTGTTGTCCTGTATTTAGCATCCCATCAATTCTGACCAGTTGTCCTGTATCTGCTGAAGAAAACCACCACAAAGCTGGTGGTGTACACAGCGTAACGCTTTTATGAAGGGGTTTCATAGGAAAGGGATATAGCCCCCTTTACAGATTTTAATTTTATAAATTATTTAAAGAATATATATTTTCCCCCTTTCTACTTTGTAGTTATGAATGGTCTGGTCTATAACAAAAATGTAAATTAAATACACAGTTGTGTTTATTAAATTTGACTTAATAAGTTACACTTAATGACAATTCAAATTAAAATATAATGTTATATATTCTATATGGTATTCTGTGTGACAATTTATATTTTATGCTTTTTCCATAATTTTCTGGTATAAAAACTGATTTGAAGCTAATAAAGAAGAAGCAATCAACCAAAAACAGCCCCTCAACACTGACAGGTATAAGTGTAGAACTAGAACCAGAACCCACAGGAGACGTGCTTGCTGGGGTTGGTCCGAGGCCCCTCATACCTGCTACTGTATTTAACAAACATAATAATCTTTTATACACCACAGGAATTTGGATCCAGGTGTTCACACATATACAGTTATGCTTAACACTAAGCTGCAGCTTTAACTACATATAGCTTTGAATAATATTGTATAATCATCATATCCTCACCTTTTTGTCCTGGCTGTTGTGTTATGTTTTTTTTTTTTTTTCCTTTCTTCCCTTTTGATTCTTGGAGGTGTGACAGAATAGCTCTGTGTTTCCTGTGACTTCTCCTTAATTCTCTATCTCTATCTTCCTCTGTTTCACCCATCTTCCTTCCCCACCTCTATCTCCATGTCCAATGCATATCTTTTTTCCCCTGAAAGCAACTTCTGATAAAGTTTCACAGATGGTTACTAAGTGAGGCCTTATGAGAACAGCCACGATGGTTCACTCGTGAAAGCTAATCTGTTGGGCTATTTTCCAGCACCAAGACATAGATTTTTATTGCTATATTAGAATAGAATAAACTTTATTGTCATTACACTGTCACAAGTACAAAGAAATAAAATTAACTCTCTGTTTTAACCCTTCCCCTTGGAGAACAGTGGGCTGCCATAGTGTGGTGCCTGGGGAGCAGTGTGGGGGTCTTGCTCAGGGACCCATTGACAGTCTGTGTGAGGGGGACTTGAACTCATAACCTCTGGGACCCAAGCGCAATGCACCAACCACTAGGCCGGCACTCCCCGAGAAGCGCATCTTTTGACAAGGATTGGATTGACAAACATACAGAAAAGGATTAGGGCCACTGAAAGAAAAAAAAAAGTTAACTGATTTTTAAATTTTCTTTCAGTTTAAAGCTACAGTGTGTAATAATTACAGGGCTATACAGTCAGAAATGTAATATATTATACATAACTATGTTATTTATCATCATCTACGAGCTCAGCCTCTTAACCTTAATATTTGCGT